AAAGTGTTTGCACCATGAGATTTTCTGTTTTTATTGGGTTTCTTCAGTAAGGTGTCCCTTACTACCATTCACTCTGGGTGGGGGGGCGGGGAGGGGGAAGGGGGGAACCTTGGTTCTGGGATTGACGAGTCCCTGGCTTCAGAGATTTCAAGCTAACCATCTTTTCCTGAACAAGTAGATGCTATTTCTCAATTCCAAGCTGAGGTTCAAAGGTCTGGACTAACCTCATAGATCAGAGGTCAGGCATGAATTGCTGCAATTTGTAGTTTAATTCTGCCTACCAGACAGAATTTCACAGCTCTGATGACTGCTCTCTTCCCCTTGTGCACACGGGCTGGGCTGGGCAATGAACAGTCATTTGTCCAAACCACCTTTCAGCACCAGGGTTTAATCAGTAACCAGCCTGGTGCCTTAGGTTTCACTGGTACAAGGTGCATATTATAAAAAGGGTCAAATGGCAGTTCACAAGGATGGAGGGGGATGGAGAACTCTCTTACTACCACCTATGAAGCATACCCAAAGATTCAGTAGTGTGTGACTAGTTTAAAAATAGTACTTCCATGGTGTGAATTTTAGGATGGGTGGGTGGGGGGTTGATTTGTTTTGGGTTGTTGTTGTTATTGTTTGGGGCTATTGAAAAAAGACAAATTGTTAATGTTCACAAGAAAGAGCAGTCAGAAGTAAAACTACTTATTTCATGAAATCTCAGAAAGTTTGCAAAATATAATGGTGATATAGTTGCACACTGGTGGCTCAGGCCTGTAAATCCTAGCTACTCACCAGGCTGAGATCTGAGGATTACAGTTTGAAGCCAGCCTAGCAGGAAAGTCTGTGAGACTCTTATTTCCAGTTAACTATCAAAAATCTGGAAGTGGAGCTGTGGCTCAAGTGGTAGAACACCAGGCATGAACAAGAAAGCTAAGGGACAATACCTAGACCCTGAGTTCCAGCCCCAGTACTGGCACACACTCAAAATAATAGTAATAGAGAATCTAAGGAACAAGTTACCATATTTTTTTTCTTGTTTTATTCTTTTTCATTTGAGTGCTTTACTCCTTGAGCCACCCACCGCCCACCCCCCAACTCCCAAATCAGGCATTTCTGAGCTTGGTGATATTTGAGTATCTGACATTCTATGCTTTTTACCCCTATCTTTAGTTTTAATCCAGTTTGTGAATATCTTTGATGGTTTAAAATTGCATACTTTGGAGTTCTTGAAAACAATTGTTAGAAAGTGGATCTTGACGCTTCCTGGTCTGCTAGGCGGTTCTGTTCAGCGTTTGTACCTGGAGGGTCACCTGGGTGGTTAGTTAGCTTTCTGCTGCTATAACAAACACACCTAAGACAATCCACTTAGCAAGAAGAGAAGGATATTTTTGGCTCACCCCTTTGAGCTTTTGGTGAGGGAGCACTGCGTGGTGGGGGTATACATGGCTGACCAAAAAAAAAAAAGGAAAGAAAGGAAGAAAGAAAGAGAGAGAGAGAGAGAGGGAAAAGAAAAAAGAAGAAGCAGGGTCTGGGGTCTCACTATCCCTTTCAGGGCAGGCCTTCAATGGCCTAAGACTTCATGCAACCTCCTTCTCTTCCTCTTCCTCCTCCCTTTCCTCCTCCTCCTCCTCCTCTTCCTCCTTTTTTTTTTTTTCTTTTTTTGCCAGTCCTAGGGCTTGAACTCAGGGCCTGGGCACTGTCCCTAAGCTTCTTTTTGCTCATGACTAGTACTCTGCCACTGGAGCCATAGCACCACTTCCAGCCTTTTCAGTTTACATGGTACTGAGGAACTGAACCCAGGGCTTCATGCATGCTAGGCAAGCACTTTACCACTAAGCCACATTCCTAGTACAATTTGTTATTTTCTTAGAGCCATACATTTGAATTTTCCACTTCCCCGGTGTGGTACTCAGAAGCGATTGCATTCTCCCACAGAGCAGAGCCATTCAGAGTCCGAACTCTTGTTCTCAGGCTCCTCATCTGAAGCCTGGTTTCGTCATGCTCAGCTAGGGGACCTTAGTAATTCATCGGGCAGCCGTGTTGTGCCTCAGTTCAGTTCTCTCAGCTCCAGAGTAGACTCCCAGAACTCACTTCACGGGTTATAGCTGATAATTAAACATGGGGATGCAGTCTGGAGTTCTTTGCACTGTGCCAGCTCTACAGTAAGCATTCAAGGACTGTTTGCTCTCATTTCCATTATTAATGCTACTGATTGTCTTTGCCTCGCCTAGCCCATACGCCGCCTCACCTTGGCTACACTTAGGCTTTGCTCTGTTTATTTCAAGAAGGAACTCTGAGCCTGCGCAGTTGGATAGAATGAGTTGGGAGCATTTGAGGCTGCATTTCTTCTGAAAGGAGAGGGAAGTAGACTTTAAACCTCCTTCTTCAGTCTAGCACTCCTTTCGAGTCTCTCTTTTCTTTCTTAGCTGAGTTGCTGTTACATGAAAGAAGCTATTAAGGGAGATAAATCTAAGCTGTCTGGCTTTCTTTGAGAATTGTTTTAATGCAGACTAGTAGAGGGAGCTTTTTAAAAAATTCATAAATGATATCTTACAGGTGAGCTAAATTCAATCCCTGATGTACATTATAAATGCCAGAAAAGTGATTTTTCATTCTATTTCTTTGTTCCAATGACATAAATTGAGCTTTTGAATAAAAATATGATTTAAGGGCGTTACCATGAGCTAAAAGAGCTGGCAGACAGTGCCCAAGCCCGGAGTTCAAGTCCCACGACCCACAAAAATAAATAAATAAAAACTATGATTTAAACTCCCAATGACAACAGAAAAATCCATGACTGACCTTATAACAACACTTCTTCTTAATTAAACAATGAGACACCTGCTTAATGGGCTAGGATTGGGCTTAAGGTATTGGGGTTAGAGTTGTGCAACAGCTGTCTGAAGCTGCCAGAGGCCTCAATAATGGCAGTTTTGTGTGGCTCAACCCTGTGTAAGAATGAGTGTTATATGCAATTATATGGTACTTTAGGAACCTAATCAGGGGCTTCAAGCATGGTCCCATAAAAGGCGGGAAGTTTCTGGCTGAGCTGGGTGCAGAGGCTCGGGTGGCTCATGGTTGTATCCTAGCTACTCAGGAGTCTAAGACCTGAGGATTGTGATTTTAAGCCAGCCCAGGCAGTAAAGTCCAAAAGACTCTTATCTAAAATGCCCAAAGTGGAGCTTTGGCTCAAGTTGATAGAGCACTAGTCTTGAGCAAAAAAAAGCTCAGGGATAGTGCTCAGGCCCTGGCAGAAACAAAACCAAAATGACTAAGGACAGACTGGCTAGAAAGTTGCCTTGCAGGTTGGAAGCAATGAGAATAACGTGTACAAGGAGAAATGTGATAAGAAGTGGGACCCGAGGAGGCTTTTGGTTTGTTTGGTTGGTTTTTGCTGGTCTTGGGGCTTGAACTCTGGGCCTGGGCGCTGTCCCTCAGCTCTTCATTTCAAGGCTAATGCTCTACCACTTGAGCCACAGCGCCACTCCGGTTTTCTGGGGGTTCATTGGAGATCAGTCTCACCTGGCTTTGATTTACGATCCTCAGATCTCTTGAGTAGCTAGGATTACAGGCGTGAGCCACCGGCGCCCAACACCAAAAAGGCCCTTGTCTTTAGCTGCTGAGTTAGAGCTAGACTTCTTAGACTGGAACCCAAGGCCACCCAACATTGTCAGGAGAAATACATGCCATAAGAGTTTTGTTGGGGTATTCTGTGACAATCAGTATAACAGCATTCAATTTTTTATGAGATTGGTTGTATTTAGAGCCATTCTTTAGAAACCTCAGAATATTTTTAGAAATATACAGTTGAAAAGTGGTATATTTTGAGGAAGTTTCTCTTTTGTTTAAATATTCACAAGAGCGATCCACCTTCCCTCCTTACCACACATTGCAGAACCCCATATGTACAGCCTAGAGTTTACACATCCACTATTCCAATCGGTAGAGAGGAGAATCTTAGAATTCTACCCAAATAATATATACCAAGAAATAGTGCTGGCACCACTTCAACCAGTTCTTGTTCTGTTGATTTTACTTGTGTATTCATTTAGGTAAAATTTTAATGGAAGAAAAGATGCTAAAACTAAAAAGTAATACAAAAGCAGTTTGAAAACTAATAACTCCTTTCTTAGGGCAGAAAGGATAAAACTACAGCTCAGACAAGTGAACACATTTGTCCAAGCACAGAACGAGCCATGGCTGAGTTAGAATTAAAACTCGAGTCTTCTAGTGGACAGTGTAATGATGCCTTCACTGGCCATATTGAATCTTACAAATGTGAATACACAAGGTATTTGTAGCTTCAGAGAACACTGATATGTTGGGTGGATTCTATTTCTGATCTTAGATTTTGTTTTAATGTTTTATCTTCAACTTTGAATTCTCTTCATTTGAATAGTTCCTGTATCGATGACTTTTATAATTATTCTAGAGCCTCAAAGTTTTCCTTGTTTTGTTGTGCCAATCCTGAGGCTTGAACTCCCCTGCCCCCCAGTCCTGAGGCTTGAATTCAGGGTGTGGACGCTGTCCTTGAGCTTCTTTTGCTCAAGGCTAACACTTAAGCCACAATACCATTCCCAGCCTTTTCTCTTTATGTGGTACTGAAGAATTGAACCCAGAGCTTCATGCATGTTAGCAAATACTCTACCATTAAGCCACATTCCCAGCCCTGGGCTTGAACTTTTAGGTGCTTAATTGGAGATAAGAATTTAAGGACTTTTCTGCCAGGGCTGACTTCAAACCCTGATCTTCAGATCTCAGCCTCCTAAGTAACTAGGATTACAGGTGGGAGCCACTGGCACCCATATTCAAGTAGTATTTTTCACAGGTGTTTTCCTGAAAAAAGCATCCAAAAAGTTTTAACAATTGTTATTATAAAGGTGATGTACTGAGGGGTTACATTTGATGGTTTATTTTCTAAGGAGAGTGACTCCCCGATTCCTAATGCACATGTGAAATTTATATTAAAATAAATATTCATAGCACTTCCTTTTTTTTTTTCAACCCTTTAGGATTTGCTTCAAAGAAGACTCAAAAAATTGAGCAGAGAAATCCCAAGCAAGCCGCCTGAAAAAAAAAAAAAAATCCCTTCATAACCCATTTCACATCTTACAAGGAACCAGATCGGTTGAATTGTTAGTTTTGGGTGAGTACGCTTCCTGAACATTTTTTTTCTTGTCTTCTTACTAAGTAAGAAAATAATTGTTCCTTCCCAGCAACCAGGATATTTGCTGCTTAGACACTGTGTACCTGGCGTGAGTTTAAGTGGCGATATTAGTTGTGTATTATACGCCATGATGAGTCACCTCAAAACCACAATATGAACTTTTTTACACCTCACTTCTTTGTGGCCTAAGAGGAAACAACTGCTCCCATATGCCTTTGGGAACACCCCAAAAAGGAAGAGATAGGAAGAACTTGTGCTGCTTACATCACCCTAAAAAGAAGTCACCAGTATTTCACCCAAACTGGCTTCAATACATGGGACACAAGGCAGCATCTGGGTGAGCTGGCCAAGCACTCAGTGTGATAATGTTAGTTATTTTGAGCCATTCCTCATTCCCTCCCTGTATCTGTTTCCCATAAGTTAGAAGGAACTGAGCCAGGCGCCAGTGGCCTTGAGTTGAAGAGCTTAGGGACAGCATGCAGGCCCAGAGTTCAAGCCCCACGACCGACCAAAAAAAAGAAGAAGAAGAAGGAACTCTCATGTTAGATGCTCCAGTTCATGACAGGTTAATGAGTTGCATCATACATGAAAACACATGGATAGCCATGTACTTCTCTGTAAACAGGAGACAGTGCTGCTGTATGTATTGCCACACAAGAGGGGAGGACAAAGAGGGACCAAGCTCATGCTAAACCCTGAGCACCTGCCCCGCCCATACACAGCCTCAGCCCTCACCCAGCTCCAGAAAATGGACGCCATGAAGCCTCCTTGTACAAAAGAATGGGCTGCTTTGTTCCCGTCCTGCCTGGCACCCACCACCCATAGCAAAATAAATCCATTCTTTTCATTTCCTTTCTGGTGAGCTCTGGATTTAGTCCATGGAGTTCTTTAGCAACCCAGAGAACTAACTTTACTTCTGGTGAAATTTTTTCTATTTTCTTCTTCTTTTTTTAATATCACCTCTCTTCCTTTATTTTATGCTAGTACTGGGGCTTGAAATCAGGGCTTCTCACTCTTGCTTTTTTTTTTTTTTTTTTGCTCGAGTCTGGTGCTCTGCCATTTGAGCCACACTTCCACTTCTCACCTTTTGCTGCTTAATGGAAGATAAGAATCTGTTGGATTTGTCATCCTTCAAACTACAACCCTCAGGTCTCTCTCAGATTGCAGTAGCTAGCATTACAAGTGTGAGCCACTGGCATCTGGCATGACGTTTTTCTTTCTTTTTCTTTTTTTAATACAAAGGGGTTATGTTATAGTACATTTTTAATTTTTTTTTATTTTTTATTTTTTGCCAGTCCTAGGGCTTGAACTCAAGGCCTGGGCCATGTACCTGAGATTCTTTTGCTCAAGGCTAGCACTATACCCACTTGAGCCACAGCTCCACTTGTGGCTTTTTTTTTTCTCTTGTTTAATGTGGTACTGAGGAATTGAACCCTGGGCTTCATTCATGCAAGGCAAGTGCTCTACCACTAAGCTACATTCCTAGCCAAGAGTACATTTGTTTTTGTCACCCCCTTCCCTCACTCTCTGTTTTTCCCTGGCATCTTCACCCACAAGTTATATAATTCATTTTTTACATGGTGTCTAATGAGTACCACTGCTGCATTTGTTCATCCTTTAATGTTTTTCTTACAAAAGAAGAACAACTGTACAAAATCCAACAAATCTTGAAGAATATAAAACTACCCATACTTTTGTAATCCATTGCTAACTACAGTTAACATTATGGGCCTCAGATATACTAAGTAAGTGCTTTACCACTCTACTTAGCCAAGGTTAATATAGTAGAGGATTAACTTTTTTACCTATCTTTAAATATTACTTAACAAAGTTAATATAGTAGAGAATATTAAATAGATTTTGTTTTTTGTTTTGTCAGTCGTGGGGCTTGAACTCTAGGCCTGGGCGCTGTCCCTCAGCTCTTCAGCTCAAGGCTAGCACTCTACACTTGAGCCACAGCATCACTTCTGGCTTTTTCTGCTTATGTGGTACTGAGGAATCAAATCCAGGGCCTCACGCATGCAAGCAAGCACTCTACCACTGAGCCACCTTCCCAGCCCCAAATAGGTACTTTAAACCATTGGTTAGACCATAATTTATGAACTATTTCTATGCTATTAGATCTTTATCACGTTATATATAAATATATTCTATTACGTTCATTGCATTGCATTATAAACACCACATACTCTGTTATAAATCTCTACAGTGTCTTTGATTTGTAAATTTCTATAACTGTAACCTTTGGGCTCATGGGAATGAACTATTTAATGACACTTGATCTTGGAGCAATGTAGACACCTTCTGCCAATTTTTACTTTTCACACTGTTATGAAAAAGGTCTTGCTTGCCATCACATTGATCATGGTGTCTTTTTTAATTACAAGCATAAAGAGAAAAGGCCATATAAACCAGAAGAAAATAGAAACTTTTCCTGATCTCATTTCCATTTCCTCTTGAAAATTTATATTCCTTCCTGTTGGTGTTCCGTGTATTAAGCTGCTCAGTATCCCCTATTTGTGTCAGAGGAGGTAAAGACATGCCTAGAATAGAATGACTCATTTTATCTGTTTCAGGTCGTCAGTTCAGCCATCACCTCATCTGTCTCCAAAATATCTTCAATTTTCCCCAACTGAGACTCTGTACCCATGAATCCCTCACTCCTGTTCCTCCCTCCCTTCCCCTGCCCACCGCCATTTTGATTCCTGTCTCTGAATTTGATTCCTCGCGTAATATATTTGTCCTTTTGTATCTAGCTTACTTCACTTAGCATAATGCCTCCAAGATCCTAAAATGTTCACTGCTTTTAAAGACTAATTAATATTCCACTTTATGCACATTTGGTAGTTTATGAATCCATGTGTCCATCTGTGGTCATTTGGGTTTCCATTTGGAGGCTATTAGGAATAGTACTGCCATGAACCTGTTTGAGTACTGTTTTAAATTATTTTGGGTGTATATCCAGTATTAGAATGTGTCTGTGTTGGTTGCTTACTTGTTTGTTTTGGGAGAGAAGTTGAAGCACTATTATTCCTGTGGGGTTTTTTTTTTCTCAGCTCAATATATCAGTTTTGTGTGTGTGTGTGTGTGTGTGTGTGTGTGTGTGTGTGTGTGTGTGTGTGTGTGTGTGTTTTGTTTTTTGGTCAGTTGTGAGGCTTGAACTCAGGGCCTGGACACTGTCCCTGAATTCGTTTTTGCTCAAGGCTAGTGTTCTACCTCTTTGAACCATAGCTCCACTTCCCGTTTTTGAGTGGTTAATTGGAAATAAGAGTCTGTCTGTGCTTTGTTGCCATCTAAGAAATCATTGATGTCATGAGACTCTCTCCTCGTATATTCTTCCAAGTGTTTTATAGTTTTAGCTCTTACATTTCAGTCTTTGATTTCTTTTGAGGTGTTTGTTTTTTGTTGTTGTTTTTGTTTTGTACATAGTGTAAGTTTAGGGCCAGAATTCTTTTTTAAGAATACTCTTCAGTCCCACCAAGACTCACTGAAGGCATGTGTCAGCCAGCTCAGCCAGTGGCATCAGGGCTTCTACCAGACATTCATCTGCCTTTTTTTTCTTCTTGGATTGACTTAGATGCTTAAGCAGATAAATCAGAGAAAACTGAAGCAATGGAAGAACTCAGGGCATGTACCGCCAGGTAACGGCAGTAGTAGGGATTGGCCAGCATTTTGATATAAACATGCTTGATGAAACTCCCAACAAAAGAAGACCAGAGAATAAAAGTGTGTGCACAGGGGTGTGTGTGTGTGTGTGTGTGTGTGTGTGTGTGTGTGTGTGTGTGTGTGTGTGTGTGTGTGTTATGTAGACATTTGAGATAGGTCACCCTAAATGTGATTGGGAACAGAACCATAGATAAAAACATCATTTGTACAAAAATAAAGTATCTTCAGGCTGTTTTAGAAACATAAAACTATCTTAGCATCAATTATGTGAGCAAAACCCTATTTCCAAAACAGTTGCTATAGTTCTTTGTGGACAGAATCTAGATGTGTTTCTATGAACCGTGAAGGTCTGTCTAGGTTTCCTCTGTGGAATCTGGGGAGCGGAAAAAGAGCTAGCAGGCCATCTATGTCTGCTGCCCCACCAGGCCACACAGATTTGCCCTGAACTGGCCAGTGTCTGATGAACTAGGTGGTGGGGGGGGGGGGGGGGGGAGGATGTAATCAGAGGGCTGCACACGATTCTCTGCATGAGCTAGATCCTCAATTAGAATTCAACATGAAAACATTTGACATTGGTTTTGTAGGTGTCCGAATTCAAATAAGTAAGTGTTAAAACCTATTAAGCCTGTGTTTTCAGGACATAGGAGGGGCCAACTATGACCTGAGCCAGCCCTGCCCTGGTTCTCATGGGGACTGATTTACAAGCAGTAAACCACATTGACAGCCCTAAGGGCCTATATTCTCTCTTTGCTCTAAAAGCACATTTGGAGAAAGAAGAAATAATGGAACCAGTTACATTTCTTGACAGAGGATGGAGTAAGATAGGACATACTTTAAAAATAATAATAATCTTCAAGTTATGTCAGCCTTTATTGGCTCAAACATTATCCTATGTGAGACCAGGAATAAATGATTATCTCAAATCAGGGATGCTTTTACTGGTATGTTAGTTTTTCAATTGAAATATTAACTGCAAGTGCACACACGGAAAGGACAGGGTACGTGAACCACAAACAGCAATTAAACTCCAGTAATAGTTCCAGAAGCTCAACATACCTGGAAATTGTGTGTTTCCAGAAACTTCCGTAATGCCCTAGCTTCCATATAACTCTGGACGTATGTTTCCTAAGTGCCTGTTTTATGAATTCTGCTTTCTAGATAGTTGGTATTCCAGCTTACTTTAATGGGGAAAATCTGGTTCTCCTTAGCTTCCCTCTCTTTTCATTTTCTTCTCCTCCTAATTTTCTTTCCTCAGAAGTAAGTAGTATTAGTTTGTCCCAAATACCTGTCAACCCTACCTCAATTTTACTTAT